AAAGGAAAATGAGCTGATTCCGGGAACCCAAGAGGCAAGCGAATTTTGGGAATAATGAGGGCAACAAATGTATAGATGTGTTTTATACAATTGATCTATGTATTGTGATGAATTGTATGAGCCCCAATAAATTGATTAAAAAATAAATAAATGAATAAAACACCTGAGAATAAAATGGGGGAAAAAAAAAAGAAAGAAAAGTATCACATCACCAAAGACAGAAAAACCATGGCTGTATGAAACTTCCAATCTTGGGAAGAATATTCATTCACACTCTTTGACTTATAATGCCATGTTTCCTGGGGTCATGAAAGTAGACAAGGAATAGAAATCAGTCTAAATTTGATTCAGAAAAACTACACTCTGGCCAGGAAATTACATTTATTAAACTGAGATTGAAACAATTGAACTTCAGTGTTAAGTATGTTGAAGTTTTACATGAGGTTATACACCGTTATAACCCATGAAATCTCATGGCACAGAATAAAGGATCTTCAATTAATAATAGCAAATTTGATTTATTATTATTGCTTCTTCTTACATGGAGAGAATATTAAGGTTAATTATTATGGCTCCCTGTATTCAATTGATCTGTCTTGGAAGAAGTACAGCCAGAATTACTCCTTATAAGCTAGGATGATGAGGCTTTGTTTCACATACTGTGGATATGTTACTAAGAGAGACCCACCCTTGGAGAAGGGCACAATGTCTGGCAAAGGAGAGGGTCAACTAAAAAGAGGAAGACCCTTTACCAAATGGATTGATACGGTGTCTGTTACAATGGGATAGACCACAGCCAAAGTTACAATGGTGCTGCAGAACCGGGCAGGATTTCCTTACGTTGTGCATAGGAACCCTATGAGTCAGAAACAACTAGAGGACAGTGAACAATGACAATAGTCCATTGAGGCACAAAGACACTAACAACAAACAGATAAAACTATCTACCAAGACTGTATTGAGGAAAATACAGGCACTATGTCAAAGACCATTAGATCTAAGAAGTTTTAAGTATATCTATCTATTTTTAATGTGAACAGTGTATATGGTTATCCAGAACATAATTTAGTGTTCATTGTTTTTTTGAGTGCACCTTTCACATCCTTATTTCTCAGGCTATAGATGAGTGGGTTTAACATAGGGATCACAACTGTGTAGAACACAGAAGCCATTTTGTCCGTGTCCATTGAATAGCTCGAGCTTGGTCGGAAGTACATGAACAAGAGTGTACCATGGAATATAGCCACCGCGGTTAAGTGTGAGGCACATGTTGAAAAGGCTTTGCGTCTCCCCTCAGTGGAGTTCATTTTAAGAATGGTTGTTATAATATAGCAATAGGATAGAAGGACCATTACCATGCTGCACCCCACAACAGACTCAATAAAAGTGAACATCACAATCTCATTAATGGACGTATCTGAGCAAGAGAGGGCTAGTAAGGGGGGGACGTCACAGAAAAAATGATTGATAACATTGGACTTGCAGAATGAAAGGCAAAATGTGCAGCATGTGTGGATTGCCGAATCCACCAACCCTACAATGTAAGCACCAGCCACTAGCCGGGTACAGATCCCCCCAGACATGGCAATTGTATAAAAGAGTGGATTGCAAATAGCTACATAACGGTCATAGGCCATAACAGCCAACAAGAGGCAATCCACATCAGCAAATGCCCCGAAAAAATACATCTGGATGGCACACATGTTATAAGGAATCCTCTTTGGCTCAGCTAAGTAGTCAGCCAGCATCTTGGGAGAGACAGTGGAGGAGTAGCACACATCACAGAAGGACAGGTTGCTCAAGAAGTAGTACATGGGGGTGTGAAGTCTAGGGTCCACCTTGATCAGTAGGATCATCCCTAGATTTGCGATCACAGTTATGCCATACACCAGGAGAAACAGCACAAAGAGTCCCTGCTGCACATCTTTTCTGTCAGAAACCCCTAAGAATATGAAGTCCGTAAACAATGTGTGGTTCTCAGCAGCCATTGCTTAGATCTGTGAAATTCCTGCCTCTGAAAGAAGGGAAAAAGAAGACAAAAATGAACAACTGTTTACTGTCCTCATGGTTTATCCCAGGTCTTTTTAAACTTTTGTTTTTAATAATTAGAAATAGTTCAAGAAAGAAAGCTTGGGTTGTTTAAATGGAACTGTCTCAACTAGAAGGATATCGAAAGTAGAGCAAATCTAGTAAAATTACTATGGTGGGATTACCTTTTATATTTCTATAGCTCCTTTTTCTTTCCTCTTTCTTTCTTTTATTTTATTATATTGGGATGTAATACATATATCATATCATATATAATTCAATCACATCTAGCAGTATTGTTCAATTGCTACCACAATCAGTTTCCAAATATTCTTTTTCTTCTTCAACCCCTTGACATATTCTCCTTTTTACCCCACCCTCCACAACTATTGTATTCCCCACCATCACCACCACGTAAACCCCTACTCTACTTTCTGTACCAACAGGTTCATCACTCCTGCGTTTCATATACCAAAACCAGAAAGAAATATAACAACATTTCATGAGGTTGTCCCCCAATGTCATACCACCTTTTAAGTACTATGATATGAACAAATAAAACCAAAACACAACAACAAAAACCAGAAAGTGTTTGAAACCAGACCAGTTCCAGCATGCATCAGAGGGGGTTCAACTGACCAGGTTTTAACTGCTCAAGCCAGGTTTATGATTTTGGTCTTCTATACTGATCTCTCTAATGCACTTTGTTTACTAACCACTTTCTTCCCATCACTCAATTATAGATCCAGGGAGATCACCAGAGTCTATTTTCTATATAGTACCCTCAAATATATCTTGGGCACTCACTGTTATCCAAAACCTTCTGCAAACCATATTCTTACAAGTTAGACTCTGATACAAATCCTTTCTTCGATTTCAGATTACATGATTTACAATCATTCAGTGAGTGATCATGATGAACCTCTTCCACATGGACTTAGTTGACATCTCACTTAGCTGTTTGTTTGAAGACAAACCTTTAAGACCCCAAACACCACTTTATCTGATTGCTGAGCACCATCTAATTTCCTAGCCTAATTTTGCTATAAAACCTGAATCTTATGTGTTCCCTTCCTGAGGGTGAGAATCTTATAGCTCCAATTTTTATAGCTACATCTTTCTTATAGAGTTTACAAGGTCCTTGGACAGCATATGGGTCGAACACTAGTAACCTACGAGGTTATCACTAAGGTAGAGAAGCCAGACAACTTATTTGCATAAAATATACACCCAAGATAAAGGTGTGAAACATAATTCTACTTATAATACCTTGTGTCTGCCTCAGTCAGATGGACTCAACCGCATCAGGTTTGGTTTGGTTTAGTAGAAAGTCTTCTGTGTATTTTCTTCAAGATGAAATCATGTTATTCTCACATGCATCTATGCAGTATTATGATTACTCTTATCATAATACTTATTTTTGTCTTGTAGATTAATCCTTGATAATATGACAGGTCAAGTTTACGATTCTTACAATTAGCAGTCCCAGGCAATCCACATTGTATGCTAGGAAGTTCTTTGCCTCCCCAGTTTTGTAGCTAGATCCTGCAGTAGAGAAACAAAAGCTTGGTGGAGTGAGAAGCTCAGGAAGTGAATATATTTTTTTACTCCTCCCAGATCATTACAGATTATAAAACATAGTAGTTTCTTGGATAAAACATTTACGACTTATCCCCATTAACCCAATGAAAAATACTGTATCCCATTGCCACTGGGATGAGTTTAGTCTGTGATCCTAGACCTGCTAGTAGAAAACAGGTGGTCGTTCCCCTAAATCAGAATGGAAGTGTCTCCTTGAGCCTTAGGTTTAAACATAGTAGTCACATAGAAACATGCCAAGGATAACCAAGCTCCCCTCTGCTAATTTCTGTTGTTGTTCCATGAGATTATGAAGAATATTTTGAATTTACTTTTAGGGATACTGGAGGTACAGGTGATAGAGAAGCAAGACTAAGGTGATGGTTTCCTGTATGGACCCTCAGCACTAAACTACCAAAATAGGCTTCCTACACAAGCTGATGACTTGTTATGACAATACCTGTATGTCTGAACAACTCCCATAACCTTACACTCATGTCTGATTTATGCTCCCCATCCTAATTTCCAGAAATTATAGTACTGCACTTCTGTTTTAGTAGAACCCCTTTGAATTCTGCTCAGTCTGTATAAAAAGGAGGGTGTGAAATTTTGAAGACCATTTGAACTGAGGTCCCAACATGAGGTTTGACAGAAACCAATTGCCTCAGATACCCTTTGATGCATGCACATTCTACTTGGTTAGAGTGTAATGAAGATGACATGAATATAGACTTGAAAAGAGAGAGAAAGAGAGGTCAGGGAGAGGAACAGAGTGATGTCTGTAATAGTGATCTCTGTTAAAGTACAAGACTACCAAACCTTGACTTGCTCATTTAGATTTCTCTCCCTGGAGAAACATCGTTAATATTTTTCTCTCCGAGGAGTGTAAACTTCAAAAAATTGATATTATAGTTAATTCAGAGACTAAATGTAGTAATAATCATAAAAACATTTTTGACAACCTCCCAACTACTATTGGCATTATATTGCAGGCTTTGATAACTATGGGTGTTAATGTATTTAGCTACAATGAAAGCTTATGTGAAGAGACCTACTCTCCTTTGGTTTCACAAAATAATTTAAGTGGAAACAGGAAATAGGAAAATGAAATATAAAAATTGATAAAAACAACTAAGCAAACACCACCATCAAAATACTAGCACCTGATCCCAAGTTCGTGACTTATTTCTTCAGTGCAGCTCTATCTGTAGACCTTCACTGTTGTCTCCTGATGACACAGGTTTTATAGCTATCTCCGCATGTGATCTCCAGAGGTTCAACGATAGTCTTGTGGGAATAAATGACATATATTTACATGGCTAATCATCTGCTGTTACACACAGGTAGGGTGACTGCCTAAATGAATCCTAACTTTTTTCCCATGATTACTTTAATCCTCTGTACTGTAATGTCCAATAAAATATTACACTTACATTTAATAGTATATATGTAAATGACCTCCCATTAACCTGGAAAATAATTATTATTTTAGGTATAGTGCATCTTATATAAGAATTATGTTTTCTTTTATAATATACACTACAAATATGCACACACCCACACACAGAACAAACACCCACACACATACACCGGCACATTTCCTTTAGGCACATGCACACAATAAATATTTGTTGAAAGACAGAAAAAATGATGTAAATTTTCTTCACCCAAGCATTGACATGTTCTTTAGTATAGAGTACCAGAGTTAATTTTATTTATTTTTCTTTGAGTAAAAATGAAAAACAGCTGGGAGGGTAGTGACATACATGCTCAATTGTTAATTGAAGAGTCAGCAGTGTGGAACAATGGGGAGGGCTGGCAGAGCTGTCTTAGGCCATGTGAAGCTCTGTAGGATGTCGGTGGAAGTTAACTCAGCCACGTGTATTACTGCAGAGGGAGGATAGGGTATCCCCCAGCCATGTGGATTTTTGTGGAAGGCAGGCAGAGGTTCAGCCTGTCGACTGGAACATCACAAAGGTGGGTGGGAGCACCCCCAGCTACTTAGAGGGCCTGAGATGGTACGCAGGAGTTCCCACTGCTGCTTCGAGGGTGAGTTCTGCCAACCATGGTCAGGGTGTTGGAAGGCTTGTGGGAGATCCTCCAACTGCTTGAGGTGTGGTCACAGAAGGTGGGCGGAAGCACCCCCAGTTGGGTGGAAAGCAGGCAGAGGTTCCTTAGGCATAGGGGAGTGCCCTGGAATCCTGCAACGCCATGTGAAAGGAAATAGAAAGGGAAAAGAAAGACAATATACAAAGGGAAAACTTGATACCATGACTGTGGTGGGAAGGAGAGAAGAGAGGGAAACAAAAGTTAAAAATATATACATTTGCTCTGAATGCCTGACCCTGTGGCTGGAGCATTTATGGTGGCAGTTGTGCCTCTGTTGAACTCAAACCCTTGGACCAGCCAAAGTAGCCCAGCACTGGCAGCGTCTGTGCTGGCGCTAAAGCTAAGCCCCAACCGACCTCCACAGTGGTAAACCAAAAGCCCATAGCTCTTCAAAACCTAGTGGATCTGTGTCTATTTATCTCTATGATGCTCCTCCTGTGACCTCTAAGAGTGGTGTTTCCCTCTCAGTTGTTCTTCTGTGCTGATTTCCGCAGACTCCCTCTGGTGCGTGTTACATGGTTGCCATCTTCCTGGAACCCTGCTATTTTGCAAATATTATGGCAGTTTTTCACTTATTTCTCTTGGTTATTATCATAACAGGGGTTATTTTGAGACATGGGCATATATTGATCCAGTGATAGCAGGGACTCCCATATAGTTTCTCAAGCTGGTATGGCAATTGTCACTTCACAATAAATAGGAGAGCTATGCTTTTTGGCTACTGTCAATTGTTTTATTTTTGATATTTAGGTATTAGTTAGGGTATGCATTTAAATTTACTTTTTACTTATCCGAGCATAAAGTTGGATAACCACATTTTGAAAATATCAAATGCATATTATATATAGCAGTAGGATTTATAGAGATCCCTCGGTGGCACAAATTGTTTGATTCTCAATTAGTAGACTGAAGATTGTAGTTTGAAGCCACCATGCAACACAGAGGAAGACAATTCTGCCCCATAGAGCTCTTTTCTGTGACATGCAGTGCCTGCCATGAGTTGAAATGGATTCAAACACAATTGGCTTGTTTTCCTTTGTTTATTTTAGTTTTGTTTAGGTTTAGAATCATACATACAAAATATGGAAACCTACCTGCTTACTGAAAATCAACAGTTTGAAACCATCAGGTGTTTTGTGTGAGGAAGAGGGGTTTTTCTTCTTTAGTAAGCAGTTATAGTCTCAGAAACTGACAGGTCTAATTCTACCTAGACCTATATAACTATGTTAGATAGGGTTCTCTAGAGAAATAAAAGCAGGAAACTAATAAGTTTATATATATTTATATGGATAACATAAGAAATAAACAGTTAATTAAACAAAAAGCAGTACAAATGGCTCAGTGCAACTCACTTTCATGAGACAGCTAATACAGTGACAGTCCTTCAAGTCTTGAGGGCAGCCAGGTAGTCCTCTGTATAACAATTCAAGCTATTCGGCCACAGGCAGCAAACAGCAAAGCAGGTCATCAACAGTCAGCCAGATGTCAGGGTCCAACAGTCCCCAGTTCAAGAGATGTATATTTTAGTAGTGTGCTGAAGTAGGTATTGAAGGAACTTCAAATTACAGTGACACAGTCTACGGGTTAGGTGTCCCTCAGGTAGTGTAGCTTGCAAACAAAGGCACAGAACAAGCAAGGCACCTTCACACTGTTCCAATGTTCCAAGAGCAAGAGACTAGAAAGGTGAAGCTTGCTGAGCCATTTATCTCTCCGCCCTTTCACATATTGTCATTACAGTTAATCCCTATTTGCCTTATAAATCCAGTGTGTTTTGTTCAGAACAACTAGAAGTGGTTATACAGGACATTGCACAAATTAAATCAGTCTTCTGATGTTGCAATTTGTAACTGTTATGTGGAATGAAGCTTGTGAGATAGAGAAAATTCACTCAAGCCAGTACCAAAAAATTTTGGCACAGATATTTGTAAAGCACACTCTCATGGCATTGTGTACATCACATGCATTGATAAGAAAAGAGTTTGGACTAATCAAGGTGATATTGTGGAATAAAATAAACTCTAACCTTTCCCCTAAATAATCCTTCTCTGTAAGATAATACAGAATCTAGCTCTTATTTTACAAAGCTAATGGGTTCAAGAGGGACATGATTTGCAAAGAGAAGAGCTAAGACAGAGACTAAGTTGAGGCTCAAGGTACCCTGCAGCACAGACACTTCAAGGCCCGCAACTCTTTTCTAGGCAGTTTTAAATATCCTCCTTGCACATAGCCTGCAACTTATGGCAGGTGCACACAAAGGGATAGTTTCCAATTATTTGAGGGTGCGCAAAGGAGCATTAGCACATCAACCAAGCTTTTCAGAGACAGGAGGAGAAGACAAGGTCAAGAACATGAAATTACTGTTCAGTTTGAAGCCCGCTGCTTCTGCAGTCTTGTCAGTGAGCAGAAGGGAAAGTGTCCATTTGATCTCAGGATGAGAGACAAGCCAGCTGCTGTTTCATCAGATCCCGTGGTTGGGCCAGCATCATTTCCCAAGAGCCTTGAAGTGTGGAAGGTCGTGGTCCTGTGCCATTTGCCTAAAAATCAAAGAGCTCTTCCCCACTTTTCCCCATATATCTGTAAAATTTATGTTTCCTAACTATCACCAATATGTTACAATTTCTCACAAAGAAATGCCACATGGGAAAGCATAAGAGTTATTGGGATTTACTAGAACTCAGAAATGTTTTCATAAAAGGAAACTTGTTATTGCAGCTATATTGCCTCTGACATTGGGTGGCTTCTATCTTCTAAATTTGTAATGGTTAATTTAAGTATCTTTTAAAGTGCTTTGTGTATAGGGCAATATCCCTTGTCTCTGAACAAGTTTCTCGTTTTGTTTGGACATCAAAAATAAAATAGAACTAAATAAAAGCAAGCAAGCAAGCACAAGTAACATCCATATAAATGTTCTTTAGTTCCCCCAAAATTTATATGAATGCCTTTATAGGTTTATTGCATTTAATAACCACAATCACTCGAACAACAGAAACTTTAAAACAAGAAGTAAAGCATATAGAATCCCCTTAGTTATTTTTTTTACTGATATTTCAACTTCACTGAAAATATGATATAAAGTATGTTGATATTTACATACTTACTTTCCTGTCATGACAACATTGTAGGTAATTATTATAACAGAGTAGAAGCCCTCATCATCTTCATCACAGAATACTAATGATACCAGAGTATGGCCAATGGTTTATTAAGAGAGTGATAGGTAAAACGATGCCTTGAGGAGAAGGTGGTTTAGAAGTCAAGACTAAGGGAAGTGATGCAGGTCTGAATTGATTGAGGAGAGGAAAGAAAATGAAATTTTTCTAAAGAATGAGAGGGAAGAGTTAAGAATTATAGTACAAGGATGGGCTTAACCAATATTATTCTTTTGTGCCTTAATATCTAATAATTTGGGGATTCATATTCATGTCTTAATGGATATTTCTAATAACAGCAACAAAATAAGTATTATGAAGTTTCTCACAAGGATATATATGGGCATATTGTAACCTTCTTTGTTTATATTGTGTTGAACAGCATGTACACATCACTCAAAAAATGTTACTGAGTACGATGTTGTTTTTATAAATTTTATTTCTCTTCTGTGTCATGAACACATTGCAGATGCTTGTGCTAACAGAGACAAAACACTCATCATCCTCATCACAGAATGCCCGTAGCTCAGGGTATGAAAAACAAACAAACTCAGTCTTCAAGCCAAAGCCGGGTCTTAGCCACCCTATAGGACAGCATCAAACTGCCCCTGTGGGTTTATGAGATTAATTATTTACTGGAGTAAAAGCACCATCTTTCTCCCATCTCAGGGTACATCAGTACATTCTTCATAGAGTGATAGCTAAATGATGTTTTGAGGAAAATATGATTTATGAACCTAGAATCTGTGCAAAACTGATTTGGGGTGAGAATGGGGGAGGGAAAGTAATTTTCCTAGAGGAAGGGTTAAGAGTTACAGCACAAGAATGAACTTTACAAGGTCTTTCTATTTTTCTCTTTAATATCTATTGTTTTCGGCTTTTCTGTCCTATAAAAAGCATTGACACATAAAACTCATGATCCCTTGCTAGAATATTTTCCTTTACCTCAGTTGGCTTCTCTATTCACCATTTATATCTCCAATTACACGTCCCCATAGCAAAGAAGTATTTCTTATTTGTACAGTAGAATCAGATATTATACGATAGACTAAGAGTTCCTTGCCTTTTCATTTAATGTATTTTATAGTTTGTTGTGACTTATTTAAATTATTATGTATTTGAAGTCATTTACATTACACTATAGGATTTACTAGTCCAGAAACTACTAGATAGATCATAGCATTTGAATCATTAAGAAGTACAAGAGACAGAAAATATGTGTTCAATAGCTCCTACAATAATTCAGTTAATGTATGGAAAAATAATGAAGAAAAAACTTTTTGGCACATTAAAACCAAAACAGTTTCCATTATTAAAATGATCATGTTTAAGTTGAAAACACTGGAACTACTTATCATTGTTATAGTTGAAGATTTGTATGAAAGCTCAGGTAATTGAATTGTTTGGGATCCATTATATGGTGCCATGTCACTTTAAAGGAATTTTGATGACACAATTGGATAAGCTCTGGAGTGTTCAATACAAAGTTGGTGGTTCAAACCCATTTGCCACTCTGTCTAAAAGTTGACGTTATGGACTCCTATAAAGATTTACAGTCTCTGAAACTCTATGTAGGGTCTCTAGGATTCTAATTCAACTTCAAACCATTGGACATCGTTTTGATTTCATATGACTTGAAGGAAATGACTGTTTACGAATGTATGCAATTATTAAATCAGCACTTTATTTTTCAGTTTCTCCACGGCCGCTTTCACATCTTTATTGCGCAGACTATAAATCAGAGGGTTTAACATGGGTATGACAAGGGTATAAAACAATGAGGTCACTTTGTCCTGATCTAGAGAGTAGGATGAACTTGGCCTGAAATACATAAAGAGCATGGTTCCTTGGAAAATTGCAACAACAGTTAAGTGGGAGGTGCAGGTGGAGAACGCTTTGAACCTTCCCTCAGTAGAGCGAATCTTTACGACCGATAGGATGATATAGCAATAAGACACAAGAACCCCTGAAATGGTACTCAGCTCAATGAAGCCAAATACAGTGAATACTGTCAGCTCATTGACTTGGACATCTGAACAGGAAAGGAGTAAAAGTGGAGGCAAATCACAGAAGAAGTGATTGATTTCATTTGACCCACAGTAACATAAGCGTAAAGCCAAAGTTGTGTGTATCAAAGCATCAACTATCCCAACCAGGTAAACCCCTGCCATGAGCATGGAGCAGACTGTGTTGGACATGTTGACTGTATAGAGCAAGGGGTTGCTGATGGCCTGGTACCGATCAAAGGCCATCACTGCCAGCAGGAGACACTCAGAATCTGCAAACATGCAGAAGGTGTAGAATTGCAGAACACAGCCAATGAAGGGAATTGTTTGGTTTTTGGCAAAGAGGTCCACCAGCATCTTGGGTCCAATTGCTGAGGAGTAGCAGAGGTCACAGAAAGAGAGGTGGCTGAGGAAAAAGTACATTGGTGTCTGAAGCTGGGCATCCATTCTAATCAAAGTGATCATCCCAAGATTTGCCACAAGAATAATCAGGTACACGCCCAGAAACACGGTGAATATGGCCACCTTGACCTTGGGGTTATTAGAAATTCCCAAGAGCTGGAATTCAGTTAAGGAGGAGCAATTCTCTCCATCCATTCTTTTTTGATGTGTTCTAAACTGGGGGAGGAATCATATAAAAAATCAATTAAGAACATTACAGATAAAGATTTTATTTTGCTGTAAGGCTACAAAATATAATCTGTATGTCCTAGCAGTATCCATCTGTGGATTGTGTTCTTTGTTCGCAGAACCTACCCCTTATAAATGTCACTGTTATGGCAGCATGTTATATTTTTTTGAAAAATAAAACAAGTTTAACAGGAAGATGAGAAACGTTGATTCTAAATGTATATGTTATTCTTGAGAAATGTCAGTTGTATTGATCTCTATATTCTTCTCTCAGATAGCACAAGTTGACCAACCTAAAGTTCATTCTAGGTTAAAAAAAGTTGCAATATTTAGAGACAGAAGGCCAAGAATATACAGGTCAAACGTGAGCTTTAAAACTACCCTACTGGACAAAAGGAGTTCTAGGAGCTAAGTGGTCATGTGTTGGTCAGTTATTCATACCTATCAGCTTCTCTGAAAGGGAAAAAAAGAATCCACTGTCTGTTCTCATGAAGATCTTGTCTTGGAAACCCTGGGAAGGAGCTCTGCTTTGTTCTATGGGTTTATGCTGAGTCAGAATCAAGTTGATGGCAGTGGGCAATTGGACCAAAAAATTGCAATTATTGTATTTTCTTAGTAAAAAAAAATGATTTTAAAGATTCAACAACAAGGAGAGTTACTGATTGCAACAGTAAAAGAAAAAGATTATGTTATGCTATTGTTTAAGGTATGATGGCTTGGGTTTAACTGATACGAAACATGCATTAATGTTTTATTCAATCTATCACATTTAATTTCTTTATTGTTAAACATATTTAAGCCAACTACTTAAATTATAAGTCTATTGAGAAACTAAACAAAATGAAGCCATTTGGGAAAAGCAAATTAGCACATCTATTTGAATCTCTCCACCACTTGCCTGTCAGTTTGACAAAGAATATTGAAAGTGCCATGAACCACTGAAAGAATCAAATCTGTCTTGGATAAAGTACAGCCATAGTGTTCCCTAGAGGCAAGGATGGCGAGACGTGTCTTACACACTTTGGACATGCTATCAGGAGAACCCAGCCCCTGGAGAAGGCCATCACTGTTGGTAAAGTGGAGGGGCAGGGAAAGAGGAAGGCCCTCAATGAAATGGATTGACACAGTGGCTGCAACTATGGGCTCCAGCACAAGAACGATCGTGAGGATGGAGCAGCCTGGGCATTGTTTCTTGCATTGGTCCATAAGTTCACCATGGGTTGGAACTGACTTGAAGGCATTTACCAATAACATTTTCATTTCTGTGGATCTCTAAATTCATTTTCCATAAAAAATGAAAATAAAGTATAATAAATATTTCAGAATTATTGTTTTCTTGTGTGTATATATCTCTGCATGCATGAACCTTTGTTAGAAAATAAAAATTGAATTTTGAGTTGTTATCTGAATTTTTCCCCTGTACTTAGATAGCATAGAATATAACCCTTAAAAACTTCAGTCTTTTCATATTGGTATTTTCAATGTGATGTTTCCATTATAGTGGAAGTAACTCTAGTATAAATTTTAAATTCACCTGTATAGTTCTAACACTTGAACAGTAATAAAAAAGTAATGGATTGTTAATCAAACTTAGTTAAAAGATAAGTGAATGAAATATCTACTTTTACAAATAAGGTCAGTTAATATCAACCATAAAATATGGCTTGGCTGTTAAATATCAATTAATTTAACTGAACTAGTAATACAAAAATGATTCATTAATAATTCCCTCAATATATTATTCTATATGTATATTTTTTCCTATGTCTGTTCATTTTGGCATTTGAAAATCTTACCTGGGATGAGCATGTTTTCCTGTTCTGATTCTGGTAGGAGAACTCTAGGTCAATCTCATTTATTCTTACTTAGAGACATTTGGGATTAAATCTCTAAAGTCTCTGCCTTCAATTTTCTTTGTTATACAGACGTGTGTTTAATTAGGTATCTGATTCTGTGTCTTCCTCTTGTGAATTCTGCAACCCCTTCAGCCTAATGTGTTCGTTCATTCAAAGAGATTCTTGGCCAAGAAGTAAGAGAACTGAGTTTAATACTATGCTTTCTGGCTACTTTAAGTCTATAACCTCCTCCAGAAATTCAGATAAGCTCTCTACTTGAAAATCATTTCCCTTCCAGTGTTCATTCTATTTGTTCGATTTCCTAAGCATACTTCTTAAATTCCCTATTCAGAAATAGAACCTCTGATCCAATGATTTTATGACTGTATAATATCAACTATATGGAATTCCTTCTTTCTTGATTAATTTCTTTCAAGTTTATTTATCTTGATATTTTGCGTAGTCTCTAGAGCAAGAATTTTCAAAATTAATGCATCATTAGGCATCTTTGAATTTTAGAAGGATAAAGAAAAAGGAGTATACATAAATAGATTTCAAAAATGATTTCTACTAATATCATTGGTAGATGCAATTGACTATTTCTAAGAAAGTACGTTTTAGGACGATGCTTTTGTTTTAATAAACTCAGCTCCATTTCAACACTTGAGCAAAAATAAAACTAATGATTTGCTTATCAATGTCAGTTAAAATATGTTAATAAAATATATAATTACACAAAGATCAGTTGCAATCAACCATAATTCACATAGAACTGAGTGGTTCATATATGTGTGTATGAGTATATATATAACTGAGTTATGATACATATATATACAATTTATTTTAGAAGTATTAAGACCAGACTAGTCCCAAGGATTTGGAGATTAAAGATGCCCCAAATGTCCAAGATGCTGTTTTGCCACATTTTCCCCACCTTCTCCCTTGAGTATATTTCCTGACTGCCTTAGGTTCTGGGGTTCACTGCAACATCCCATTGAAACTTTAAGGAAATGTCTCATGTGGTTGTGGGTGCTGTTCAGTCCTCCATACAAAGGTCAGGCAGAGGTGAGCCATGTGCAAGGTCTTGAGTCAGAAACAAAACATATGCAAACTGTTACAGTATATGTTGTTAGACTTAAATTTCTTTTATCCCTATCTAACTCCATTTTCCCCTTACAGCCATTTTAGTTCTCTTTCCACTGAGTTTTGCAGGTCAGAATGACTGGGCAAGATAATTGTGCACATAAGTTGTTAAACTGTCACCAGAGGAACATCTGTGGCCGGAAAAGATTATAGACCGGACCCGGCTCTAAGAAGAAAATGTTTTTAGAAAAATAAGTCGTAAAAGTAAAACTATGTTATCTCTAGCAGAGGAGAAATAAGTTGTAAAAGTAACAACTGTGACCTTGCAGACTGCCACTTGTAAATGTCAGCCAAAAAGTTTTACAAGTGCACCTGGACCAAGATAAGCTGGGCAGAACATGCTAGACTGCCCACATCTTGTTATCTTGTGCAGACACCCTTCCCCATTCCTTACTCACACCCCCCTTTCTCCTCACTGGTTTTAGTATCCTGGCGAAACTGCGTACATCCTGACAGATGTTTAAACAGAAGGTCAATGTTTCACCTATCTGAGGATTTTTTTTTTATGGCCTTGTTCCCATCCATGTAACCCCTATAAAAACCCTGAGCTAAAGTCGTTCGGGACTGCAGTCTTGATCCTGCGTGGTCAGGCTGCAGTCCGAGTTCGAACTTGTCTGTTTCTGTCTTTCTCTTTTACCTGTTGAATAAACTTACTCTTAGCTTTTACAGATTTGTGGTCAGTGGTTCTTGTTGGGCATTTCTCCCTAACACAAACGTTAAAGTGGGCTTCTTGCTTCTATCAAACCTTAGCCAAGAAATAGAAGTATGGATTTTGACTTTTTGCAGACTACACTCCCAAGGAAAACAAAGGCTGGAGTCACATCCTGTGGTAAAGTAGCCTGAAAGATGCCCCATAGGAAACAAAAATGCGTGCTTGGTTCACATCCTTTGCTAAAGTCAGGTCTTAATGCCACCGAATCCTATCCATTAGTATAATGGAAGATGCTCCGTAAAACGGGATCATAGCCACAGACTTGATTCCACAATTATAACACATCACACAGGACTCAAAACCCAAATGCCATTGCATTAGTTCCAATTCATAGGGACCCTTTTGACAGGGTAGAACCTCCTCTGTGGGTTTCTGAGGCTGTAACGCTTTATAGGAGTAGCTATTCTCATCCTCACACCCAAGAATGCCTCATGGTTTTGTATGTCCAATGCATGACCATTACTCCCCCAGGGCTCCTGAAATAGTTAGAAGAGCCATACAGATTGACTACGGCTCATACAATATTTTGTTAATAATTTATATATACAATTCAATAAAATTGATTGCACTCTTCAAAATGTGCAACAATTATCACTAACTTTTCCCTAATCATTTTCCCACTATTAACTTAGACTCAATGTCATCTTACCAAACAGTTCTTTCTTTTCCCTGTCTGCACATCTTGATAACTATTAATAATCCTTGGTTTCTATATATTTTCTTATTTCATGTAAATAAAATCATACAGTACTTGCTCTTTAGAGTCTGATTTATTTTTTTCAGTATATTTTTTCATCGTTCATCCATGTTTTGCCCTGCATCAGAACTTCCTTTCTCTAACAGCTTCTCTTGTTTTAAAGACCTGTATTAAAGAATTGACCATTTAATTGAGGTCACAAAGCAAAAGTCCACAGGGAAAAAGCATACCATCCCAGGTGATCCAAGGATATTAAATGGTAAAGTCAAGATCAGAAGGGCAAAGGTATTAGAGCTTAAATTGATTGCTTAAGCACAACTGGGCCCACCAAACTCAGAGGACGATGGCCCAGCTGGGGTCCCAGTGTACAGAAAGGACTGTGTGTCTGTCCCCACGGCGAGATGCGGCGCCCCAAGCTGACCTATGGCCCCGCACAGGACAGCATTGGAGTCACAGTGTGGGATGGGCGACTGAGCTGACCCCACCACACTGAGGCAAATCACTGGGGGCGTGCAATGGAGCAGCAGGGAAGCAGAGCAAGGAGGTCCCAAGGGAAGACAAACAATGGACGCTGGGGTCAGGA